TGAGCTATGTCCTCAGCCAAAAAATGTTGGAGTAATCAGCCTAAATCTGAGGACTGCTACTCTTAAAAGACTCATAACCAAACAAAAATGATAGAGGTGATGAGCCAGCCATCACCCAATGAAAGCTCAGGCCCATCCAAAGGTAGGCAGTTCCGCCTGGGATCCTTCCTTGTCCATTCTTCTCCAGAGAAGCTTGAAATGACTTGCATGATTTACAAACCCTTTAAAAAAAGAGATGGTAACAAATTTGCTTGCATGTCTCCCAGCAGCATGAACATAGTATGTCAGAAGGCAGATCATCAGTTTTAACAACTCAGCTTTAATGGTAGATTTGGGGGATGCAAGGGGTAGATAGCAAGGGAGATAGGTAGCATTGTGCTTCTAAATCATTCTCTTGTTGCATAAGCAAAGATTACTTGTAGTTCATGCTGTTGAAGAGGATGGCCTTGAAGTAACTCATAATAAATAAATATTAGGTGTTTTTTGTAGAAGCCTAGACTGTGACAAGTCAGATTTCTACAATCTGGCAAAAACTACATGGAACATAGCCATGTAATGCTTGATAAGAAATGTATTCATTATCTTCCCATGTATTTGTAACTCCTCTGTACAGTATTCTCACAATAAAAAAAAAGAAGTCATGGATGAGAGAAGTTGAATAACAGCAATAAAAGCTAATATTTACTGAGTGCTTTGCAGGCATTAGACTCAGAGCTTGACTTTAATTCAGTACAATCCTATAAAGTATATGCATAATTCTTTCAATTTACAGAGGAGGAAAAGAAGACTTAGAGAGATTAAATAACTTCCCAAAAGTCACACATTGCATTGAGGTAATAAATTGGATCTAGAAGAGTTATTTCAGCTAGAGCATATATATACACACATACATATATACATATAGCATAATGCACAATACATAATATATACATATATAATATCCTTTTATTTCTAAGTGTCTATATGTGTATGCATATGCGTGTTATGTATGGAGAGTAAGCTGATATAAATTAACTGGGGACTCTTTCTCATATCTTCTGAAAATATCTTCAGAGTAACATATGCACATTACATAAGATTTTATACTGGAACTATAACTAAATGTGAATAATAATGTCTACTTTATACTATTGTGCAGACTCCACAAGCTATGGTTATGAGAGGTTAGCTCAGATGTGGTTTGTGATAAGGGCTCCTTAGTTCTCTATTGCTTTGGTATTACTGGAAAGGATGATAGCGTGCCAAATACCCTAACTCCAAATAAAATAACATTCTCACTAACCAAGCACCAATTGAATGGTGATATGCTTGGTGTAAGAGTGACAAGTACTCTTCAGAATTTTGATAAAAGTTCTGTACATTCGTGCTCTCTCCAATGGTCCAGCCACACAATTTGGCCTTGACAGGGATCTTTGGCCAGAAACAGGGAACTCTGTGCTGACTTTCTATTTCACTTCTAGTACAACATTACTATACTGAAGGTGAAAGACATGGGGGCAATGGCCTCAGAGAGAGGGAAACTGTGAAATATCAGCAAATCGCTTAGTCCTCAGGCCTTTCAAAGGCAGGCAACTAGTTTACTATAAAGAGGCAAAGTAAATGTTGAAATCCTGGCCCAGCATTGTATAGGTTTAATTGTTTCTACAGGTGTAGGCTATTAAAATTTTTCTTTATGACCTTCAGTTATTTTACTAGAAAGGAGTATATATTTTATATTCATAATATGGCCAATGAATTAAAAACTCAGGTTTAGGCTATATAAAAAATTCCCCATGACCTTCAGTTATTTTAATAAAAAGGATTATACATTTCATATTTATAATAGTGGCAACGTATACCTGGGACTGTTCTGAGTTACCATATGTCAGCTATCATTAGGATAAAATTGGGACACATTGTTTTTCCAATCTGGTTTTATTCAACACTATGATTTTCAAAATGAGTACTCAGTAACTTTACTGTGTGATTGGTCAAAAAGAGGACCTCCATTGGGGTAGGTACTATTAGTGGACATTGCCTATCTGAAGAATATTGTGAATTGAGCAAAGCAGTTGCTTCCCAGAAGGCTGATCATACCTTCAATTTTCCTTGCTTTGATGACCCTCAAGTGAATGAAATAGCATTCTTGTGATGTGAAAAGTTTGACCTGCTCACCTCTTACACTAGGGTTCAGTCATGGAAATGAATAGGCAAATTCAGCAGAGAGGCTGAAAACAGAGAAGAGTAGTGCTAGAGATTCCATTCTCCTGGGGAATGAAGGAGCAAGAACAGCAACAGGTGCATGGGAAGAGGAGAGTGTGTGAGAAGAAACTAGAATAACTGGTGATCACAATGGTATGAAACACAAGAACACTAAATGACTTATTTAGTACATGGTCTTATTGTAATTTGTCTACTCACCACCACATAAGAGATGGTTTTATAATTAACATGGATGCAAGCAAACAAACACATATGAAAACTATATAGCTCATGCATGATACAAACTATATAGCTAATGAATGAAATCCTCGCTTGGGAAGCTGAGATTGTTGGGATTATATTTGCAGGTTAGTCCATGCAGAAAATCAAAGCTCTTGAGACCCTTTCTCAACTAAGATCTGGATCTGGTGGCAGGCCTGTTATCTTAGATATTAGAAAGCCTAATGTAGGTGGATCATGCCCATGAGAAAACTTATCTATCTCAAAAAGAAGCAGTCAGGGCTGGATGTGTTACTAAATGGTAACAGTGCTGTCTAGCAAGTGTAAAGACCAGACTTCAGACCTTAGAAACACTAAAAGGAAAAGAACAACTTTGATCCTCTAAAAATTAAAGCCCAAAAAACTAGCCCAGGTCAGGAGCAGTACATTTCTGTCAATGTCTTGGAAATATCTTCCTGAAGAAAGGTATTTGTCACTGGTAACTTCAGTGTTCTGGGATAAATTTAAAAAGCCGGGGCTGGGAAGGTGGCTCAGTGGTAGAGCGCTTGCCTTGCATTCATGAGGCCCTGGGTTCGATTCCTCAGCACCACATAAGCAAAGAGCCGGAAATGGTGCTGTGGCTCAAGCGGTAGAGCGCTAGCCTTGAGCTGAAGAGCTGAGGGACAGCGCCCAGGCCCAGAGTTCAGGCCCCATGACCAGACCCCCCCCCCCCAAAAAAAAAGCCATTGCCGGGGCTGGAAAGGTGGCTCAGTGGTAGAGTGCTTGTCTTGCATGCCTGAGGCCCTGGGTTCAATTCCTCAGCACCACATAAGCAAAAAGAAAAAAGCCAGAAGTGGCGCTGTGGCTCAAGTGTTAGAGCGCTAGCCTTGAGCTGAAGAGTGAGGGACAGCGCCCAGGCCCAGAGTTCAGGCCCATGACCGGACCCCCCCCCCCCAAAAAAAAAAAAAAAAAGCCATTACCATTTGTAATCAATTTATAAAAGACCTAACTTAAATAATAAATAGATTAAGATTTCAGAGAATCTCCTTACAAAAGAAAGCCTTCCAAAAACTTTAAAGCTCTTGTGAGTTAGAACCACTGCTAGAGCTTTTCTATCTCATTTGTTAAATTAACTTTGGAGGTATGAAACACCTTATGTTAAACACAAATGAACTGATAAAGCCAATGTTCATGCATTTATTGGTGACTAAAACCTTTTTTTTTTTTTTACTGGTCCTAGGGCTTGAACTCAGGGCCTAGGCACTGTCCTTGAGCCTCTCTGTACTTAAGAAGTGCTCTACCACTTGAACCATAGCACCACTTCCAGTTTTTTCTGTTTATGTGATACTGAGGAATCGAACACAAGACTTCACATGTGCTAGGCAAGAACTCTACCACTAAGCCACATTCCCAGCCCCATGACTAAAGCCTTGTAAGAACCAAACAATAGATGAAGCAGGCTAAATTTTGAACAGCATAAAAACACTACGGTAACTCATGCCTGTAATCCTAGCTACTCAGGAGACTGAGATCTGAGGCTTGCAGTTCACAGCCAGCCTGGGTAAAATAGTCCATGAAACTATGTCTCCAAATAAGTGGCAATAAAATTATAATAGGGGGCTCGGAAGGTGGCTCAGAGGTAGAGTGCTTGTCTTGCATGCATGAGACCCTGGGTTCGATTCCTCAGCACTACATAAACAGAAAAAGCCGGAAGTGGCTCTGTGGCTCAAGTGGTAGAGCTCTAACCTTGAGCTGAAGAGCTCAGGACAGCACCCAGGCCCAGAGTTCAAGCCCCATGATTGACCAAAAAGAATTATAATAGAGTGTATGACTCAGGTGGTAGAATGCCAGCTTTAGCAAGAAAGTTGAGGTAGTCCATGAGGCACTGAGTTCAAGTCCTAGTATCCTCCCCCAACTTCTCACAATTTAGAAGTCAGTACATAATAATTTAAAGCCTAAATATTCTAGAACATAGGAACTTACATGACAAAGCTTTATGTGTATATTTTCCTAAATCTGTAAGCCCAGGAATAATTGTTCATTTTACTGCAGTTATTCAGTTTGCAATTTCAAAACATGCAGATCAAAATTACTAAAATACTACTGTTTTGCATATTTTTCCAGTTTCCTATGCAGCATTCCTTGTCATAAATACACATATATTCACAGTTCACAGTAATGGATGTTGTATCTGGAATGCTACTTTTCCCAAACAAGGTTAAACACCAATATCAACCAAAAATGTCTTACATTGGTTGTACTGCATTTGCAAAAAGAGTTAGGAAAGAGCCCTGGTTGACAGAGTTAAGTTCCTTGGCTATAAAAAAATATTTTTTGTTGTTTTTTTTTCAATTGGTCACAATTAATTAAGTAACTAATATTAACTGCAAATTAGCTTTAATTTGTTTAATATGATGTACAAACCAAATCCAGGCAATATTTTCTTAGCAATTAATATTCTCAGTAGCCATAGCATTTTTCTTTTAAAATATAGAAAGTAAGACCAAAACTTTGGAAGAGAACTGGGATTTTGAAATGCCCATGGGGAAAAAAGGACAGGGGAGTATAAATTAGAATCTGGTATGCTATGTACTACTTACCTTCAAAAGTCAAATAAAACTTTCCTCTGTCAAACCAAACGAGGGAAGGCTGTTCATTCTCTGTATGGCCAGGAGTTGAAGCGGGATGGGAAAGGTTAAGGAGAGGGAGAGAGAAGGACACAATGTGAGTTACAGAGCAGGTCATTAATCTGACTGTAGGGGAGGGGAGGAGGCACTGCATGACATTAGCGTGCAGGGAAAAGGGAAGGCAGCAATCTAAGTTTATTTTTAATTTTTATTTCTTTTTAGTTAAGGAAACAGAAAGCAAAAGCAAAGCTATGGAGCCTAAAAGGATGGACACGCTTGTAGGTAGCTCAATGCTCAGTGCTTGTGCGCATGGAGCGGGTATCTTCCTGGCCATGCAGGGGTATCAGCCAAATGGGACTAATTTGGGCAAACTGTCATTCATCAATGGCTGTATCCATTTTTATCTTCAGTGTCAATCCCTTCTGTGTTTCCAAAAAAAATAGGATAAACTCAGAGTTATGATTTATATGAAACATAAGCTTAACTTTTTCCATGACACCAACATTACATATCCACTTAGAGTTCATGGAAGATGTCATAAGTCTTCCGTCCCCATCTGCTGGAATCACCGTAGGCTTCCAGACACAAAACACCCTCGCCTCAGTACCAAAGAGAACACATGCTTACCAATGGTGCTCGAGTATGTTTTCAATTAAAAAGCAGTTACCAGACATGTAATTCTGAGCAGTTCAATGATTCCTTCCATTAAAAATTCACAAAGCGATGGCATCTCACCTGTTTCGAACCTTTTCACTAAGAAACTGTCATGTAGCCTGCTGCTTTTTAATATGCCCACTCAAAAAAAACAACAACAACCCACTATTTCAGTGGATGGGTTTCCACGATGAACAGTGAATGTACAGCGTGCATCTGATCGGTGCTGCACACTCATGAGGCCAGGAGCATGTCCATGAAATTTCTAGCATTCGGATGAAGAATGGCTTGGATTTAAAAAAGATCTAGATAGAGGGCTAGAGATCACTAGGCTAGCACCATACCTGCAGGCGTGTCACAGCGCCTTTCAAACGAGGGCAGTTTGTCATAAAAAACATCATCTTCTGACACTACGAACCAAAGAAACATAAACGAATGGAAAACAAAAAAAGCACAAATACAAATCCCAAATGAAACTGAGCAGCACACTTTACTGATTGGAACACAAGAATGATTTTTATGGCAAAAGGAAACTCAACTTTGAGACGTTGGGTAATGATAAGAAGATAGAAAGTGATGTGCTTATTGGATGATGATTCTATAGGAGGAAAGTTAAAACATTTTTTTTTAAAGTCAAAGTGTAGCATCTGTGAGTTTGACAGACATCCCTGCAGAGAAGGAGGCATGTCGCACATTCTCAAAGAGCTGTGAAAGGCACCATCATTAATCATCGACGTGCACATGTGTTTTTACCCTCAGCACAGTCATCAAGTGGCCAGACATGCCCATCAACAAGAAGCACCTGGCAGAGCCCGTATAGCTCAGTAGGATATTCCAGCATACATACTCCAGCCCCAGGAAAAAAGAAGCTAGCTTTCAAAGGGACCTTAGGAAAACACCAGTAAAGATCTAAGTGCCTACCCGAACTACCCAGCTTCATCAGTATCCAAATGAAATGTGCCTTGCATCTGCCTTTAATATTGATGGCCTGCTTATTTCAAACAGTATCATTATAATTCCATCACTGGCCATGGTATTTAGCGATGGCAAAATGTCTTTGTAAATTGATCATAACATTATCAAAGATGCTCTAGACCTCCATTGCTTCAGGTCTTTACACAGTCTTTTTTCTCATCAACTAACAAACACAAGTAATTGTGTTGTTTACAGATTTTTGGTCTGTGTGATTAAATAATATGACAGGTCTTGGAATATTATTACCAACAGCAGAAAGTTGAATATAGTATGCACAAAGGGCTGTAATGGGGAACTCTATGTGATTGTAGAGAAGTAAAAGATATGAATGAGGGTAGCAAAACAGTCCATCAACAGAAATGTTTTTGGGAAATATTCTATTGGCTTGCTGCCTAGAGTTTGGGAATAAGGCAGGGAAAGATTTTTCTTTGGTCAATTCTTACTATTCTAGGCTATTACCTGACAATCTGTTTCTATTACATTTGTGATTTCCTAAATGGGTAGAATGCATTAATGCAATTCCTACAATATTGATGGGATTATTAGAGACAAGCCCTTCCAAACAATAGCCTCCTTGGTTGTTATGTAGCCTATCTAGAAATAATACAATATACATATTTAGGAAGCATTCATAGTTTAGAAATGCTGCACATTTTAGAGGAAATAGTTTATGTTTTAGATGCTATTGCCACATTACTGAATGCAAATCACTTTTCCTCAAAGTTCTGAACCAAAGGAAGCATCAAAATCCATCTGATTCTTCCTTTGACACAAAAAGATGATTTCTTATTATTTATTATAGAGTCCTGTAATGATAAAGATGCAATTTAAATTACATCATTGCTAGTAAGGAGCATAACTAACAAATTAATAGGGAAGAAAATTTTTCCTTCTTGTAATCTTTTGGCAATGGGGTACTAAGAAAGATTTTGCAAATTATCTTAAAATGACCATTACCCATTAAAATAAGAATAAACATAAATATTTAAAATTAGAGATAAATCTCCATTATCATTCTCTCCAGTTTTCTAAGCAGAAGTTTGTTCATTATTATAGAATAAATTTAAATATTTTCCTATCTTCATAATATTAATAGAATTTTCCCCAAATCTGGTGAGGTTTTTCTAGTACAAAAGAGAGTTTTCTATATTTCAGTGATTCTAAGTTGTCTGAAATTGGGACAGATCAGATATTTCATAACAAAAAATTACATCTTGGTTTATGTGGTAGATTTTTTTCCTGTTTCTTAGTCAAATAAGATATGGGTATTTTTAAACTGAGAATGTCTACAGTTCAGTAAGGTAAGAAGAGCTCTTTGTTATTTGAGATCAACAATACACAGAAAACTGTTTTCTCACAAAGACATCAGCTTTATGACTTTAAAAAAAGATTGTACCCAAAATTGTTCATTTTATTAGATGGCTTATTGTATATTTGTTTAGACGTGTTCTTAAAAGTCTAGTTCTTAAATCACTTTAAATTGGGCTCATTGGCTCCCACATATTAGCTCCAAGTAAGGGTCAAATGAATGTTATAGGAATGTCAAAACTGTGGTGGTGGTGGGAGAGGTATGGGGATCTATTGACTTCAGGAAACATGCAGCTGAATTTTCCAACCTCTCCCAAGCCATGTGACTTCAGAAAGTGAACACTGCAAGTCAATCATGATAAGGCCCTTTGGTTGTGGAAGAGTCAGAACACACCCAACAGAGAAAGGGAATGACAGCACACGGGAGTGACCAGTCATTCAGCAGTGTATTTATGTTAGAGAGAAATGGCTGTCAGGTGACCAGCAGCAAGAGGAAACAAAGGATGGGAAGTGTGTGTGTATAGGGGGTGAGAAATGGAAACCAAACGGACAGATGAAACTAAATAAAAATAACAGACCAAACAGACTAATCAGTATCCTCCTCAGCAATGAGACCAGGAGACCAGCCTCTTATGTCAGTGTGTATTTTAAACCCCTCTATGGCTCATCTTGGCTGGACATGCACTAGACTATAAACACTATGTCCAATGTATGGACACAGTTCAAACTTTTTATGTGTACTATTGTCCCTTTGATCACAGTGAGGTGAAAAATATGCTAGATGGTCCATCTGAGATTGCTTGGGGTGATTTTCTGAGTGACAGCTCACTTTCTTCTCTGACTAAGAAGGAAAATCAAATGGTATGGTGTGGAGGGGAATGAATGCTTGAGAAAAGTCAACAATAAAACAGGAATGGGAGAAGGGCTAGAGCCTTCAAGGATACTGAGGAGTCAGGGGTTAAAGATAACAAGATGAGGCTATTACAAAAAACAAAAACAAAAAACTGAACAGTTTAAAAAATGGTGATAAATGTGCTGATCTGCATTGAAGGACAGGAAGCTCCAAACTTTCCAATCTTATACAGACAAGGAGCAGCTGTCCTATATAAATAATATTAAATATTCTCCTGTTAATAAACCACATGAAATTAGTTTAGGTGTCTTATTTCCATCGCATTTAGAAGGAGGCCTTTGGGATGCTCTGATTACTGGAAAGAGTATGTGATTCAGGTGAAATTCCTTTGGGGCACACCTTTACTTATTTCTCTGGGAAGATAGGCAGTTTCTTTCCCAGAAGAACTTCAGACTTTGATCAAGCTACTTGAACCCTGGGCAACTCAGCAGTGTGCTTTTCCATAGGAGCACCAGGAATTTGTTTAGCTTTGGTTAGTGATTCTCTCGAGCAAAGCACAATGGGGAAGCTGGTTTAAAATATGGAAGAACTAGAGGGCAGTTTGGACAATAAAGGAAGACAATAGGGAAGGAAGGTCATGTGGAAAAATAGGATGGGAATGACCCAGGTCAGAGACAACATGCAGTATAAAGGAGAAAGGTAGCAGGAGCTGACAGCAGGAGGGAAAAGAGAGAGAGACCGGCCTTGGGAGGCGGGGAGCTGCTCTCGGCAAATAAAACATTTAAACGGGGCTGATCATCTAGTTGAACAGCCACTTTCTGCACAGCAGGAGGAAAGAGGCACAAAGACTTTGACTGAAAATGTCACCAAATGACGTATATTTTCTGGGAAAATCAACCACATATCGCTGAAAACTATAGACAAAAAACTTTGCTCATGTCTCCCAATGTCAATGTTGATAACATTCAGGACAACTGAAGATGAGGAGGAAATAGTGAAAGCTTCAAGAAAAGAAAATTTCTAACTTTCATGACATGATACACAGTCACAATTTCAACATGTCCTCTGAAAGGAGACTGTTTTTTAATTCTCACAACATTTTTAATTTAATTATTTAAATTTCCTGGGTGATTCCTTCTTTACTTGGGTGAGTACTTTGGTATAGGATAACATAAGAAAACCCTTGCAAAACGTGGGTGTACAGATTCTTCTTTATTTGTGCGAGTGGAGGGCGTTCATTGCCTCCTTTAATGAGAAGATGCTTGTCAAATAAGAGTCATGTGACAGAGCCAACACACAACAAAACCCTTTCCACCAGAAACACCAGGGCCTTGGGGGAGTTCCAATCATAAACCACAAACAGATGAAAAGAGAGGAGAGAATCTTTACCAACTGTGGGAGTGGTGGCTGCACTCAGGGAATTGGTTGACGATATTGAAGAAGTGCTTTCAGCCCGGGCTAAGGGTGCTATCGGAGGCGGGCTGGAAGAATGTATGGGTGGGCTAAAGGGTCTGGACTGTAGGGAGAAGAAAAGAGATGAAAAGTTAGACACACAGGCTGTGGCATTTGGGTTCCATGTCTACTGTTTCCCAGCCCCACAGATGGCAACTGAGATCCTAAAGATGTGCCAATGACACTATTTTACACTGCACTGGATTCTATCAGTGCAGACGTTTCTGGAACAGAGCTGGAGGAACCAAAATCTATGGTATGCTAAACTCAGTAATCTGGAGTCTTCCTCACATGCTCTTGGGGAGTAGGGGGGTTAACACAGTGTATCTATCTAAAGATACTTAAATACAAAACATTAGACTAGGATAACTTCATCAGTTTACCACATTCATGTACCAGGGAAATTGACACATTAATTTCGCTGCTTTCAGTAAAATCTACCTCTGCCACAAGTTTCTTAGTTGTTCGCATAGGATGTTTCCTCAGCCCTAGAACAAAGTGTGATAATACCGGTTGCAAACACATCAGGCCACCATGCTCCTCTTTCTATTCCCATAGCATTTGCAATCTCTTAAAGTTTTCTAAACCTCAGACATATATTGTGAAAACACGTCTCTTTCCAAAGGCTTTAGTACAATGGAATATTATCATCTTCATTTGCGACCACCTCCTGTACCAGAGCTGAGGCCCAAGCATCTGATGCCTATCATTTTAGACTTCATCTTGAGAAAGCCAGGAGAGCTTTGAGGAAATGTAGCCATCCTGCAGCAACTGTCTTTCAGAAGCCACCTGTCATGGTGGCTCATATACATGCACTAATGTTCTAGCATGAAGTCGAGAATGTCCTGTGGTTAGGTACTTTGGGGACTCTCATTCTTACCACCTGTGTCTGAGCAAGCCAGGGCAGAGTGGAGGAACATACCACATCTCCGACTCCAGGCTTTCCTGGAGGTAGTTTTGGCCGGGATGGAGGTCGAGGAGGAGGTGGAGGTGGAGTGGTACTGCTGCAGGGAACCAAGGGAGTGGCTGGTCGAGCAGGAGATGATGTACCTGGAAAGCAGACTGGTATTAAAAACAACTGGAGACACAAAGGGCCTAAGCACCATCACGACTAGTACAGGGCAAGTCCCACCTATGTTTTTGGCAGTTACTAAACTAAACACAGCAGCACACAGTTTTTCTTTGAATAAAGAAAAAAAAAACTTTGGATTATGGTGGATGGCAGAAGCTGAAGCTTGTCACCTTTGGTTGTCATGTGACACCCAGGGAAAGGTAAATCCTTTTATCATTCTATCTTTCACAGAAGGTAGTAAATGTTTAGGACTTTAGAGTGGGTGGTGGATAGTTTTTGTTTGAATCACATACACAGTAAACTTAGGATAACTTCTCTTGCATTTTGTTTATATGTACAGTTTATTTCTGAGATGAAAATGAGGTTTAGAATTTAGAACTTGTAGGATGAATGTGTGATTTTTTTCTATATTAAAATTTGGTTTCAATTTTCCCTTTTTATTTATTTGGAAGCATGAGGTATTAAGTAAGGCCTAATACATTCTAGGTGATGTGCCACATTTTTTTTTTTCTTGGTCATAGGGCTTTAACTATGGGCTTGGATGCTGTCCCTCAGCTCTTCAGCTCAGGGCAAGCCCTCTACCACTTGAGCCACAGTGCCACTTCTGGTTTTCTGATGGTTAACTGGAGATAAGAGACTCATGGATTTTCCTGCCCAGGCTGGCTTTGAACCACAATCCTCAGATCTCAGCCTCCTGAGTAGCTAGGATTACAGGTGTGAGCCACCAGTGCCCAGCTCCTTTAGCTTGTTTTAAGATAGGATCTCACTAAATTTTCCTGGGCTTGTTTTGAACTCATGTCTTCTTGCTTTTAGGTCCCTAGTTAGCTGATTGTAGGAGTGTATCACTATGCCTGGCGAGATCTTTTCTTTTCTTTTCCTTTCTTTCTTTCTTTCTTTCTTTCTTCCTTCCTTTTTTCTCTTTCTCTCTTTCCTTCCTTTCTTCTTTTTTTTTGCCCCCCTAGTTAGCTGATTGTAGGAGTGTACCACTATGCCTAGCTAGATATTTTCTTTCTTTCTTTTTCTTTCTCTCTCTCCCTTCTTTCCTTCCTTCCTTCCTTTCTCTTTCACTTTCTTTCTTTCTTTCTTCCTTCCTTTCTTCCTTCCTTCCTTCCTTCCTTCCTTCCATCCTTTCTTTCTTTCTTTCTTTCTTTCTTTCTTTCTTTCTTTCTTTCTTTCTTTCTTTCTTTCTTTCTTTCTTTCTTTCTTTCTTTCTTTTTTCTTTCTCTCTCTCTCTCTCTCTCTCCCTTTCTCACTCATTTCTTCCTTTCTTTCTTCTTTTTTAATTTTGGTGGTGGTACTGTGATTTAACTCAGGGTCTTATAATTGCAATTCAGCCATTCTTATGAATGAGTCATACCTCCAGATAGATTTTCTTTTTAAAATATGGATAAGAGGATTATACTTTCAATTTATATTAAAGTATGAATAGTAACATTGTTAATGTCCCTAATAATAGATGGAATTTGCAAAGAACAAAATCTAAGAAAGTACATTAGATGTTGCATGAGTACTTTTGTATTGAATTTTAATAAAAGAAATACACCTAACTTAGAGGATTTAATTTCTAAATGAGTCTGTTTAGGAATCTGTCAAAGCAGAGTTTGCCTCTGAAAGATATCTCATATAAATTTATATACATATATATGTATATATATATGTATATATATATATGCATATATATATATATATATACATATATATATTTCCAGCCCTGCTTTATTTTGGAAACAGAATTGGTGGTCTGGGCAGGCCTTAAACCAAGACTTTCCAGATCTCAGCCTCTGAGTAGCTGGGATTGTAGGTGTGGTGTACAGGTACCTGGCTGCCTATGATAATTTTTGTGGCAAAATGTGGAAGTGCCTCTTGGATTTCCTTTTTTTGGCTGTCCATGACAAGCATATGAAACACAGATGACACACAGAGGCTGGCATGCACACCAGTTAGCATACCAGTAGGGTGTCTCCACTCTGGGACATGTCTATATCAGTCATACATCCAGGATGCATGGGAAAACTACTTGGCTAAAAACCTTAGGGAAATGAAACCAAACAGTTCTAACTCCAGAGTTTTGTCGCTTTGGTTAGAAACAACAGGTTATCAAATGCTTCTGAAAGAATTATAAGAAATTCACCTCTAGGAAAATATCCAGCCTCTTTCTTTCATATCCTCTCCCCTACCTGTTGCTTCCTTTATGAAACTGATCATTGGAGTCCTAGATTAGCATTTTAGGCTGTAGTCTTTCACATTCTCAAAGTGCTTTGCAGTTGACTAGAAAAACCCAACTGAGATCTCTTCTTATGTTAGGAGATCCTCAGGACAAAGCTTCTTTCCCTTGCTTAAATATTCTGAAATCCTGAGAGTCTCTCCTCTGCCCTTATCACAGTAGTGTGTCATTCTACATATCACCATCATCTCCTCTCGACCCCCATCTCCTTCATCATGGCATCTGCATGTTCATACTTCTGCTGCACTCTTACCTTTTATTTTTTTGGACTACTTTCTACACCAGGCATTTTACATAGGTGACCTGACTCTCACGGTGAGTTTGGAAATAGGTGTTGTTAGTCTGTCAGTGGATCCTCATAGAGAGCTACGAATACTGAGATAACAGTGTATAACCATCTACTGTATGAAATAGTTGTCACAATCAAAACTGAAGATGCTCATGGATGTGTGTGCTGAACGGTTCGATGCTAGAGGAATAGAGACCTTAGATGAGGGTGATGGTAAAGATGTGTTTGATACAGAGACGTCTAAAAGGTAAAGAAGAAAAATGAATTGCTAATTCAAAAGTAGGTTTTCTTTTCTTTCCTTATGGATACCCTCCATCTACTCTTCACTGAAAGATTGGAGTCAATTCGTTGTACAGTTAGGAAGATGCAAACCAAGAGGACTAAGCAGGAAGCAAAAGGATGTTTTTGTCAAACTCTTCCTGACAGAACCCAGAGACTCAGCAGGGGATAAACTCAACCTGAGGGACCTTTTACAACCCAACCAAGGATTCATAGGTTTTGTTAGGCTGCTTAATTGTTGCCCATTTTTAAAGGCATGGAAGGAATATTTTTGTACGTATCTATCCATACTCTGATTTCCAGTGATACTTTAATTTTCCCCTCAAGCAGGATGCATTTCTAACAATAGTACAGAGAAATAAGCTGTATAATTCTACTGTTTCAGGTTTAATGCTAATGCTCACACATGCTTTGCATTTTGGGTTAAACAAGTTGGCAACCATTCTCAACTTGATATTTTAACATAGTTGATTTGGTAACACTTAAAAAATCAAATAGCTTCAAAAAAAATTTTTTGCCAGTCTTGGGGTTTGAACTCATGGCCTAGGTACTATCCCCAGGCTTCTTTTGCTCAAGGCTAGCCCTCTACCACTTGAGCCATACTGCCACTTCTGGCTTTTTCTGTTTACGTGGTACTGAGGACTCGAACCCAGGGCTTCATGCATGCGAGGCAAATACTCTACCACTCAGCCACATTCCCAGCCCTAGGTTCAATTTTTATTGTTTTCCTTGGTGTCCATTTGGTGACAATAGGGTAGGAGCATTGGTGGCAATTCTGGGGAAAAGGCAGAGATACAGGCCATACCATCCCAATCCTGGCTCTGCTAGTCACTGGCTTTGTGATGCGAATAGAATGCTACAGAAGATGATGAAAGTACGGACTGTCTCTTGGCACAGATTTGACTAAAAGGTAAACTTCTTAAGTTCTTAGGGCCTCAGCTTTCTTATCTACAAAATGAAGCCAATATTCCAACAATACATTTTGGAAACTCAAGTAAATTAAAATATATTCTCCTTGAGATTTTCAGGCAACTATAAACCTTTAAAATAATGTTTTGTGGAACACAATTACACTATTTTCTTAAAAGTATATATATATGGCATTGGTTATATACTATGTTTCTGGGTTTTTTTTCTTTCTTTCTTTTTCTTTTGGCTGGTGCTCAAACTCAGGGTCTGGGCACTGTCCCTGAGTATTTTTGCTCATGGCTAGTTTTCTACCACTTGAGCCACAGCTTCACTTCCAGATTTTTGGTGGCCAATTGGACATAAGAGTCTCGTGGACTTTCCTGCCCAGGCTGGCTTCAAACTGTGATCCTCTGATCTCATCTTTCTGAAAAGCCAGAATTACAGACGTGAGGCACCAATGGCCAGCTATATTTCTGGCTTTTTTTGGAAACCAAGATTTCAAAATCCCTAAAACAGAGCTCTTGAAAAGAGCTGTGATGGTTAGAATGTTCCAGGAAAGGACTACCCATTGTGATAAGTAGACACGTGCGGCCATCAAGCACTTGATGGAACTTAAAATTAATTTTAACTTACAATTAAAATAGTTCTTAGGCATAGTGATGCCTGAATTGGACATCGCTTCTCTTAGATTTATATTTAGGAAATATATTTGATTAATTCAACCCCAGTGTGTTAGTGTGTGTGTGTGTGTGTGTGTGTGTGTGTGTGTGTGTTTCTGGGGTGAGAGACAAATATACATATCTATATCTATATCTATCTATCTATCTATCTATCTATCTATCTATCTATCTATCTATCTATCTATCTATCTATCTATCTAATCTAGAGAGAGAGAGAGAGAGAGAGAGAATGAACATATTTTTAAGCACTGCATTATTTTCCCAAGTTGGAAAATGCTGTCTGAAATTCTCTTAACTACCTCTTCTTTCTCCTCAGTTTCCAATCCTGCCACAGGCTAGTAAAACTCCTTTTCCTTCCTGTTCTTGGGCATTTAGTACCCATGAGAGAAGTGACAGCCTTTGCCAAGCCATTCCAATAAAGGAATTCCAATAAAGCCAGACGAGGAATTTATAATTTTTTGCCATAAATAAATTCAAGGTCTTGGAGCAAATTTTCAATTTCCAACTGTTTTCAGAATCAGGTAATTCTTCTGATTCACAAAGCTGCGGGTGCTTCTACCCTTGATCAGTCACAGGCCCTACGCCAGGAACATACTTTACTCAGTTAAGTACAGTTACGCAATTAACTAAGTGTAGGGAAAGTTAGTCACATCACTCAACCACCTATTTGTTAAATGGAAACTCCTTTGTACAGGACATAATAAAAAAAGGCAGTACACAATGGGAAACATTGTTTGTCTTTAAAACATTAGGCTGAATCCTATTGTTAAGTACTTAAATTTTTGTTTCTGACAGTTTGCAAATAAACCAAGACTTAATTATGGAGATGTTGGTGAAGAGTTCTTTTTATTTATGGTCTTCATTGGCCAAGTTCAACCTCCATTGAGAAGTCTGATCATTCAATGCCAGCAAAGTACAGTGTTTGGTAGCTCAGTTATTAAAAACCAATAGTCTTTACTGGCAGTATTTTAAACTAATTTCAAATAAAGGTTGTGAACTAAACATGAAAATAACAATCCAATTCTTAAAGATTCCAAAAAGAATACCAGAGCTACTCTCTTTCTCATTAGATTAGAGGTTTAAATAAGCATATATCTCTTAGAGCTTGGTGAAAGATGATGGAGAAAATACCCATTGCCCTGTTTTCTCCATCCTGTCAGAAGATGCTGACTTTGAATACAGCACAATAGCTCACTACTGTAGACATTCTTTGAAATGTCTTTACAGAAGACCAAGAGCCTGGCCCAGGAAAGAGCCAAACCCCTCTCTTAAGCTACAACATCTTTGGGTTTGCTGTTCAATGGCTTGCATAGAAACTGCTTATTGTCTCTACAGGAAAGAACAGAGCTGTATCCCTCCCAAATTAAAACAGTGTTACAGGCATAGATGTGGGCATTTTGACCATCAAGAATTAGAGAAACATAAAGCAGTACATTCTGCTGATCTTGAAGATGACATCATGCAGTTTAGGGTATTCAAATAAAATTGGGACATTGTGCAACCTTACAGAAGTACCATAGTAGTTAACATAGTTAACATAGTAGTTAAAAGTACAGACTCGAGATCAGACAGACCTGAGTGTCTGAACTCCAAGTCTATCACCTCCAGCTGCGTGAATATGAGCAGATTACTTGATATTGCTGAGCCTCGACTTTCACATCTGTAAAATGGGGAAAATAACAGTAATGTACCATGTAGAGTTTTTGTGAGAGTATAAAAAATAATGTGCATAAAGCACTCAACATGGCATCTAATGGAATAAAACTGTAGCGTGTTCTTTTTTATTGGAAAAATAAGAGCACTCACAGTTTCTTTTATTTTGGAACATGGCCCAGAGTCATGTTTTCCAAACTTATTTGAGTACTGGGTTGTTTTCCTTTTTGGAAGGAGGAGGACTGTGGGCACAACTATTGATGTGCAACATTGTTTTTGTGAGTTGCACAAGAGAGGACACAGCCCTCCATGACCTATGGACAATGTCATTTTACCAAGCGAAGCTGCATTTGCAAACTCAGAGCAGCCTTGAAAGGCACTACACAGAAAGAGGCAGCAGATGAGTGAATATTAAAATACAGACAGGCTCCTTCTTTCCTATCTCGTGTACTTGGAAAGCAAGTAGATGATGTCAGCTACTGAAAGGTGCTTAGACTGAACCCACATGGAAAAGAGCAAAGGCACTGAGGATCTTAGCAGATAAACGAGCAACAGAGAAGTAAATGATATGGAATAGATGCGTTGGAAAACTCTTGATGGTTCTTTGGTATGTACGACCGGTGTTTCTGTCCTTTCATTATTAGAAAACACAAAAATGTAGTGCAAATAAAAAAAAAAGAAAAGGTCAAATTGAATGTGACAGTTTGCACTGAGAATCCTAAAACATACATATTTTGGGTAGCCTTTACTCACTCCCATCCTCGTACTTAGAAACAACTTCAGAGCCTGATGGATATCAAAAGGTGAGATCAGAGAGCAGGTTTGATTAAGCAGCCCTGTGACATTGGAGATACAATAAGCCAAGGTTTTTTTTTTTCCTCTTCCAAAATTTCCCTTTCAAGTCTAGCACATTTTTTTTCCCTAAAGAAATGAGAGGAATTAGCATAGTTCCCTTGCTGGGAAAGAAAAAGAGAGAAAAGAAAAACAAAGAGGAAAAAAATATAGGGCTCCTTTTCTCTCATATTAAGCTACAAAACCTAGAGCCCTCCTGAACATTGGACAGGGCAATTAGACGTGTGATCTGTGACCTCCTGGCTATACGATCCATCTTTCTAGAACTCTGTTGAACTCCAAACCATCACACCTTACTGTTTGAAACTTCACTTCCTCACTGCAGGGTGGGAGGTAGGTCACTCCTGGGGGTTGGGAATACATGACAGAACACATCCACACACTGGGACCATGACGGTGAGCATTCAGTGCACTGGGACATGCCACAGGGCCACAGGACACCCAGACCAAAGGAAGAATGGCTGAAGCCCTAAAGCCAATTGCCAGGCAAGAGGAAGGTGTTGCTCACACCGCAGCAGCCACAGCCATTCCCCGGCACACGAAGCACACTCAAGCAATAAGACGTACCACTGGTGGTCCCCGTACCACTGCCCGAGCCAGGTCCGGGGGACGAAACCACAGTCCTGTAGGTGGGTGGTGGTGGGGGAGGTGGAGTTGCTCTCTGTCCCAACCCAAAATCTTTAGGAGATGAGATTGTTTCTAAGTAATCATCTTTAATGAAGGTCTGCTCAGCAACTTTCTTCTGGACTTCTTCTAAATTGAGCGGAGATGGTACATTGCGTGTAGGACCAGGAGGTCCCTGGGAATCTGAGGGGCCCGGGGGGCCAGGAGGGCCTGAAGCTGGGGAGTCAGCTGGGTTGTCTGATGCAGCTGTTGGAGATACCACTGTTTCCCTTGGAGTCAACTCTGGAGTAACGTGTTCCGGGGACGTATCAGAAAAATGGACCCATTTTTCTTCAGTGTTAATGGCCACAGACTTGGGGGACAGCACTGGGCCAAAAATGCTGTCCAAATCATTGATGGATGGTAGTTTTTCAATTTTGGCCTCTGTGGCTGACTGGTCATTTCCTGCAGTTAAAGTAGTGATTTTAAACTTCGAATTAACTTTGTTAATCTTATCTGTATGAGGGTTGTAGGAGGGAGGGATGAGGAGAAACCTGGTAAATATATTGTTTTGGGAGGTGCCTCGGTGGGCATATCTTAGATGTAAAAAATATAGTTAGTAGATTAAGACTTGAAAGTGAAGGAAGAACTCCCCACCTTGATAGTGTGAGTGCATTTCATGAGAGAATTTACTCGTTTGCAAGGTGACCACAGTTGGCCACTTTACCAGCAAAGTTCTGAGGAGAATACCACTCTCAAGGCTGCTCACAGGTGAGCAAGGGTGATTGTTTTGAGAAGCTGGTGATAGGTACAAGCTCTGGAAACACAAATGCCCAAAGGGAGGATGCTTCTGACAATCTGGCCTATTGAAATACACAAGAGAGCATTCAAAGAATTGATCACTGATAGTCACCCTGGGAATCTGATCAGGATTGTATGTTCTAGTACCTTAAAATAGATAAATGTCTGGTGAAACTAGTGATAATATATATTAGTTTTTTTTTAAAAAAACAAACATCACATTTAGCTTTAGGTCTTCTGTTTTGTTTATATCAGAAATACAATGAAAACACTTAAGAGGTATTTTCACATAAACATGTACAAACACACACACACACACACACACACACACACACATGCACATCCCCACATAAGAACATACACATAGGTTATTGCTACTTTTTGGAACTGTTGCATATATACCCATTGAACAGAGCAGAAAATCATAAAAACATTGTTAATTTATTTTCTCATCAAGTCTAAACTGTTAACCTCGAAGGCATAACCATGATAGGAATCTACTTAAAGCTATGCTATAAAAAGTCTCTGTTTTGTTTATAGATTATCATTAGCCTTTTGTTCTGTTTGAAATAGTGACTTGTTTTATAGCCTAGGCTGGCTTTGGACTTGAGACTTGTAGGTGAGACTACATTTTTAGTTTATATTAACAAGAAGAGAAAAACATCAAAACTAACTTCTATAACTTGGTGTGAAATATTTGATAATAACTACAATATGAAGAACTGTACTTTAAAAATTTTTAGATTATTTAAATTAAAAACTATTACCTCAGTAAGTAGAAAGCCTGATTAGAGCCTTTTTACCCTTAAATAATTGTTGGGCTATTAGAACTGGCTTGGTATTTCCATATTTTTAGAGTGTAAGAAATTAACTTTCAAGGTCCCAAGTCTATAAACAAATGTAATAATATTTTGCATGGCTCACTATACAATTTTTGTTGATGGTAGGTTTATTTATATTTAACAATTTATGGAGCCTGGTTTGCACTTACAAACATCTTTACTTATAAGACTCTGGATGATTCTCTATCAGATTTGAGTCAATATAAATTTCATAAGTGCCTGTGTCTTCCTTTCTCCATTGATGATAAATACTCTGTTCTGTACTCTAGCTCCCCAGTTGCATAAATAGCAAGGGGCTATTGACTTCCAAATGTGACAAAGAGCCATGCTGTAGGGCTCAGCAACATAAAATAACCATTATGGCTTTTGACTTGCTGTCCAATAAGACTTGGCAGAATATACATCATTTGAATGCATAGTATTGATTTTAATAGATGGTAAACATGTGTCTTCAAAATTACCTGCCTAAAGGATCTGGTAATTCCTTACCATTTTCATAATTTTTACATATCTCTCTGCCATGAAATTATTGAATTCTTGAGTGAGCACCCGGGGGAAAAAATGCCCCACCAATAAACACTTCACTGCTCATCTTGAATCCATGATCTGCCTTTATAGTGCTAGCAAAACTTTTATTGATTCTAGGAAAAACACAAATTGTGTCTTGAGACCATTCATTTTAAAATTGTTAAATTGAGGTTAAACGAAGTGAGTGGTTGACTCAACATTTGACTTTTTTACCTTATGAATTTTTTCTCTCATTTTATAAGTAAATGTAGTACTGAGGAAAAATGAATTCAGAAGTTAATAATTTTTGAGAACCTTAAAATAAGTCTTCAAATCAATTCAATGTTATGAAAGTGGGCCATATTGATGTACCCTACAATTTCTAACACTTTAAGAGCATGTTGAGGTCTGGGTATTTTGTTCCAATGGCTATATTGTCTCAGAATGGAAAAAACCCACAGTTTACCTGGTGCAACTGTTAAGGGGGAGCCTGTTCGAGGTGGAGTGGCTGGTACATTTTTTGGAGGCAGTGGTGGAGGTGCTGCAAAGAGATGGAAAGTCAAGCGTTATTGATCATGTTCTTCCCAATTACACAGTGTACTGCAGATTAGGTTTTTCATTCATATTCCTGGCACCGGAAATGGAATGGCTATTAATGTTTTAAAGTGTTTTGCTTTGTTGTTGTTGTTGTTGTTTTGCCAGCCCTGGGGCTTGAACTCAGGGTTTAGGTAAAGTTTTAAATTATACTTTTATTATCTTTCAATAGTTCTACAAAGGAATTGCCATTCAACAAATAAGTTTATAAGTACAATGCATGATGTCACCCCTTTCCTCATGATTCCCATCCCTCCTAACCCCTCCTCTCCCTCAATATTCTTAGTTTCATGGGATATATGTTGAATATTAAGACTGTATTCTCCCACCTTCCTCTCTTCATTCTCTACCCTCATTTACTGACCCCCCCCACCATATCATAAAGATTTTATTTTTGTTGGTTGTGGGGCCTGAACTCAGCCTGGGCACTGTCTCTCAGCTTTCAGCTCAAGGCTAGCGCTGTACTATTTGAGCCACAGTGCCACTTCCAGGTTTTTCTGCTTATGTGGTGCTGAGGAATCAAACCCAGGGCCTCATGAATGTAAGGCAAGCACTCTACCACTGAGCCAACTTCCCAGCCCCATACACATTTTTTTTAAGTTCAGACATTTAAATTCAGATTTTTCTTTGCACGAGAGTAAGAGTTACTTAAAAGAATGTCAGATAATAACAATAGTGTAAACATTTCACTCATTGAAATATTACTCCACAAGCCAGTGTACACAACTGAGATCCATCTCCTGTATGAAAGCTAGAGGCAATGGGTTGACTAAAAACAGTCTCTGTCCTTAAAGAATTATGAATGACAATGAACTGGCAATCTCAGTTATAATCCAGGATATCATCATGGAAATTACAATAAATCAGGTGGTGGCTTGTGAAAAGGCTTTTTAATCCAGTCTGGATATCATTGTCTAGATTGAGTCTAGAAAGGTTTCAAAATTTTGAAAGCTAGAAGCAAAGTAACTTGAATCAAAGGAGGATGAACCAATTCTTTTGGTAAACACAACAGTCAAAAAATGTCCTAGAAAAAGTGTAGCATTACAATCTCGATTACCACTGAGGTTCTTACTTTGTAGACAAATTTAGTGTTTGCTATTTCAACAGGTAATATTTGTTCTTGTTCCTTTAAATATATATATATATTTTCTTGTGATGCTTGATTCATTCAAGGATTCACATTAATCTCAGAAACCATACTAAGGTTTAGTTGTGAACGAAGTGTAATCCATTCTTCCATATTCTAAAAGCAGAGTGAGTTGGGAGGATGTGGAGTTGGAGACATTTTGCCCATCTCCTCTACCACCACATTATAGGAATAGTTTCTTTCTGTAATCCCTCCCTTCTTCTGTCCTTAATATACCATTTGCTTTCAAACAGCATCTGTCTTTCTGCACAGTAAACATGATTGACAACTCTGCTCCTAAAGCCTAGGAATATGTGGTTCTTAATCATAGCTATGAGCTACACAGAAGAGCCAATCAAAGGTCGTGCTCTTTATTAATCACAACCATACAAAGTCAATTAAGGACATAATGAGCAAAATATTACACAATAAATAAAATACCTAAAGGAAAAGCCTAAAATAGTGAGTTTGTGCTGTGACCACAAAATGATCATAAAATGCTCCTCAATTGAACAACAATGTCTGCTCTGCCAAACACAAACAAAAATGTACAGGGCTGAAATACCAATAGTGGTATTCAGTACATCATCTCCACAAACATTTCTCTTATGTTCCTACTTGGCATTTAGGAAAAGGTTTCTAAGAACAATTTGGATAGCTCAGATCTACAAAGAACCTTTTCAAGAATTTTATATATTTTTATAGGCTTTGTTTTCTAGTAGCTTGAAGAAATGTTCAAAATCACATGGTTCAATGCTTTCAAATACATCTTTAAATGTTGAGAAGTTCAAAGAGTTGATGAAAAGGCCGGATCACATATAAAACATATTCCCCATAAATTACTTCTTGGTCTTTGACTATGAATCCTCTATTTCCTCTGATCGAATGTGTGTGTGTGTGTGTGTGTGTGTGTGTGTCCTGAGGCTTGAAATCAGGGCCTGGGAGCTGTCCCTAAGCTTTTTTTTTTTTTTTTTTTTTTTTTGGGTCCGGTTGTGGGGCCTGAACTCTGGGCCTGGGCACTGTCCCTCAGCTCTTCAGCTCAAGGCTAGCACTCTACCACTTGAGCCACAGCGCCACTTCCGGGTTTTTTCTTTTTGCTTATGTGGTGCTGAGGAATCGAACCCAGGGCCTCGAGCATGCAAGTCAAGCGCTCTACCACTGAGCCAACTTCCCAGCCCTGTCCCTAAGCTGTTTTTGCTCAAGGCTATCACTCTAGTTGTATCACAGTTCCACTTCCAGCTTTTGGTGGCTACCTTGAGATATGAATCACGTGGACTTTCCTGCCAAGTCTGCCTTTTAACTGTGATCCTCAGATACCAGCTTTCTGAGTAGCTAGAGTTACAGGTGTGAACCACTGGTGCTCAGCTTCTATGATTACTTTTAAATACCAAAAAACAAAGACCTGGAAATATGGAACTGGAAAAAATATTAGACTGTTTGTGTGCCTAAAGAAGTAAGATTACTCACTGTGCTTTTTATCTTTCTAAAATATCTTCCTTTAAATCTAGTCTTTCCATGGGTATTCTAAGGAGTGCCTTCTGTATACATGATCACAATGAGCCATCTACTGAAAGAATAAAAAAATCCAACAGATGGTTTGACCAAATGAGCAATACTTTTAAATAGACAAATCTACCACAGGCAAGGGTAAAGGATGATAAATATTATCAAGATCTTCTTATTTAGATACTTGTACATGGTGGAAAAGGCGAGACTGGTGGCTGCATTGACCTAATTTTGTCCTGATTTTCTATTTCGTATGGTCTCTTTTGTCGAGCCTGTTGGTCTTGCTTTCTAAGTCATGCTTTCCTTGTGGTTGTCTGTCCTCTGTAGCTTTAGTTGTTCTGGGACAAGCAGACTCCACCTGACTTGTTTACCTCTTTAGTCTGTGACAACCTAGTACTCACTTGTGAAAATGAATTTCTTTTGCTCACTTGCTAAACTGAGTTAATAAATGAGTGAATGAGCCTGGGGAATGTCAAGAGACATTCCACATTTTGTTATCTTATTTCTGCATCTGCTTGAATAACCTGCCTTGTCCTCCTTAGCTCTGAAGACTATTAGAACAACATCTCTTCTCTTAATATTGTACAGTTGAAATGTTGCTTATGTACACTTTGTTGGAGCTGACTAATTTCACTATGCAGACAGACAGTAACATGAATCATTTATTTTTCCAGACAGGACAGACACAACTTACTTCCAGAGGGAAAAGGCCTTGTTAACTTTGGCGACTCCAGATTTGGATTAATTGATTGGCCTGAACCCCAGATCTCAGGCTGATCTAGAAGAACTGGAAACAGGAAGAGAATTTCTTAGAGTAAGTTCAAATGAAATTGCCCTAGGCTCGCTCTATCTATCTATCTATCTATCTATCTATCTATCTATCTATCTATCTATCTATCTATCTATCTATATTTAGTTTTTATTAACTATATATAGTTGTACAAATAGTTCAACATGTCAATTTACACTGGCTAAGATGTCCTAGAAATTAGAACTTAAAATTTCAATTTCAATTTGAGCTCACAAAATTCTCTCCCTCACAAGGAGGTAATTTTTATTTTGTCTCATATAGGACAATTAATTTAGAAATACATTGCTCCTCATTCTTCTCAAGCATAAAATAGAAACAGCATTTGGAGTGTAAGGGCATGAGTGTGTATCTGTGTATGTACACAAACTATTTAAACTTTTCAAAGTAAAATCTGTATTTGGTTTCTAGTTGGTAACTTAAGGCTATTCTGAATATTAGTACACATATAGATTTGATTTCTGGTGTTCTTGAAAACTTAAGATTTTTTAATCCTATATACATTTGCTTTGCTATAAGGTAATTTAAATTCTGCTAAACTATGCATTGGAACTGAAAATTTCTGGGTTCTATGCAATAGTTCCTGTATTTAAAGGATGTTCTAACAAGTTTTATATAGCATTATAAATAGAAATAAGTTTTTTGAATGCTTGATACATATTTTAAGAGAACCAGAAAAAGAAATAGGTGCTCAGACATCTGAAGTAAATTTAGGCATTTAGGTATTGAATCTAAGAACACTGAATTTCACATTTATTCCCCTCTTTGATATTTCTTGCAGTGCAGTGGTCAATGAGCACGTAACTAGCCTTCAGAAAGAGCTGTTATATTTCACCACAGAGCCCCGCCTGGGAAGTTGGTCCAATATAGATTCTGATGTAGCCCCTATATTTACAGAACCTCAGGCAAATCTCTTAACCCCTCTGAGCTTCCCTCCTGCAGTGTAAAGTGGAGATAATAAAAAAAAACCTCAAGAATTACTGAGAAAATTGAAGGAAGTAATAGATGTTCTCCCAATTGATCCATGCTGTGCATAAAATGTACCTAAAGCATCTGACACAAGGCCAGTAGCAGTTGCCATGTATTTTAGTTCTCATAGCACCACCATGTGGTTGATATTAACAATACTTTTAGGAGAGGAATCTAAAATTAGAGTGGTTAATGATTAAGTAACTTGTTCATAGAAACAAGTAATGGAGCTGAGATCTTACCCAGATATATTGACTCCAAAATATAGATTCCTGTCATCTAAGGCCTTTTAAACCAGGAATAGGAGAATCAATCAAAAGGAGAATGAGTAGACAGGAAACACTGCAGGGGTAGACTACATGGAAATCAGGGGTTAAACCACACAGAACAATCAAGGCAGATGTACTGACAGTCTAGGGGAGCAGGCTGTCCTCTGCATTACAGCCCTCAATGGCGATCTTCACTCTGTTCTGTTGTACAACAGTATTATTTTCAGGGATTCAATGTGGGATAGCACTTTAACTTTTAAGAAAGGTTTCTACTTTTTATTTTTTTTTATTTTTTATTTTTTTTGGGTCCGGTCATGGGGCTTGAACTCTGGGCCTGGGCGCTGTCCCTCAGCTCTTCAGCTCAAGGCTAGCGTTCTACCATTTGAGCCACAGCGCCACTTCTGGCTTTTTTCTTATGTGGTGCTGAGGAATCAAACCCAGGGCCTCAGGCATGCAAGGCAAGTGCTCTACCACTGAGCCACCTTCCCAGCCCAGGTTTCTACTTTTTAATGTAAGGTTTTAGTCTATAAATGCAATAACTTAAGTAGGCAGGTTCAATTTCAATAAATCAAGTCCCACCTTTTGTCACCATATAATCATGTTATTAAACTCGAGACTAGCCACAAATAAGTTAATAATACAAATGATAGCATTACAGTGAAATCATAGATATGTAAGGATTCAAAGTTACAGATGTTTAAATCCCTGAAGGAGTATTAGGAATTTTTGAAAAGTTATTTTACTAACTCCTTATTGAAAATATTCAGGCTGAGTTCCGGCTTTTTCCTTGATCCATTCTCTATTTATGCACAGTTAAAGAGTTTTAGCAGGCCACACAGCACCAACTTGCTCCAATGGGCTTTAGATGCAAGTGATCTAGAATCTCTTCTGGATTTTGCTCTTAGGACAATTGGTAAATTCCATTGGGTGCTCCCATGCCCTTTCTTCTGATGGGGAGGCATGAGCACTAAACAAGCCCCCTGGACTTAGCGATGATGGTAAATATTGAGCATGGTAGAGATGTCCTGTCTTCCCATTTGACTGTTAAGAAGAATCAAATAAAATCCCATTCTTTTATTTACTATTTTTTTATGTTTTTCTGCAGTTTAGACAAGTTTTCCAAGTCTCATGTCCTCATTATTTAAGAAAAGTCTCCCAATTGATCCTAGAAAGACACTGTTTTATTGTACCTTAGTATTCTTAAGTTAAATCACTTGTTATAAAGACATTCTATATGATCAGACTGAGTTACTGGAGATATAGGTATTGGGCGTAAATACATTGCAGAAACAGATTAGATTCCTTTTTATAAAGAGGGTATTTTATGCCAAGTGTTTTTTATTTATAGTTCCAAACATGATTAATTTTAAAAGTTAAACACAAGCCTAGTAATAAATATTTAATAGTCATGAGTAACAACAATGGCAGCAATGAAGGTATGCCTCTCATAGCGTGGTAGTTTTAAGTTGCTAAGTGAAGTCATTCTGGTTTCCCAAGCCAGCAATCAAATTGAAACCTACATTGAAAAAGTGCAAAAGAAAGTCAATGCAGAGAGGCTAGAGCCCTGTGCCAGTGACCATTATGGGTAGAAGAAGATCTAGCTCTGTTCATGTTCCTGCTGACAATTCACATGACAGCTGTTTGGCTCACAAAGCATTTACTCCCTGATAAAGATTTGTATAGATTTGTATTATTCTTTTTACTGACCTATTTTGAGGAGTGAACTTGTGAGCTATATTTCCAGAAGTAAACTTTCTAATCCTAAAATAACAGAGGTGTGCAAACTAAACTTCTATTCTTGACAGAACATCTAGATTGGCATTTTTCTTTCCCATAAAGATCTTATGGTAGGTTAAGAATATACCTTGAAATACACCCAGTTTCTCTAGAGAGGTTGCACTTCAGTGAAAAGAAGAACAAATCTATAGATGCTTATTGTCTTTCCTACCTTCTGTCTTCTGTCCATCGAAAGCTGATTCTAATGGTGGGCCGAAGAGGGGAGCAAGGGCCACAGTGTCATCAGGAGGCTTTTTGCTAAATCACACACATTAAGGCAAGTTACAAGGAGAAGGCTCAAAATGTAATTCTCAAGAAATATATACATGCTTCCCAATATTGTTCTTGGTTAAACAAGAGTGTGTACTTTTGTGTATGTATTTATGTATGCAGGTGTGTAAAAGGTTGTTGTTAAGCTTAGGAAGCATAATATAAAAATGTGGAACACATTATTGGAATAATGGTAGGAGATAAGATCTCTAGTTCTAATTGGAAGACCAAGGTACTAGTCTAGCAGAAATAAGGCAAAGGAGAAAAAAAAAATTCAAACTATCATCTTTCTCAATACCTACAGGAGAGAATATCAGAGATAACAGATCATAGCAAACCTCATTTCTATCCTAAACTTTCAAAACCACTTATATCTACCATTGTATCTACCATCTCTCTATAATATATATACATACATACATACGTATATGTCTTATATAATATATTAAATATAACTAGCTCACTATCACTTGATCCACACCTCCAGCTCAGCTTTTTGTTGCTTATATTTTTATTGTATTTTTTTTTTTACCAGTTCTGGGGCTTGAACTCAGGGCCTGAACACTGTCCCTAATGCTTCTTGTTGCTCAAGGCTAGCATTCTACTACTTGAGCCACAGCGACACTTCTGGCTTTTTCTGTTTATGTGGTGCTGAGGAATTGAACCCAGGGCCTCATGTATGCAAAGCAAGCACTCTACCACTGAGCCACCTTCTCAGTCCATTGTTGATTATTTTGGAGAGGGAGTCTTATGAACTTGGCATCCCAGACTGTCTTCAAACTATGGTCCTTTGGATCTCAGCCTCCTGAGTAGCTATGATTATAGGTACAAGCCATTGGTACCTAGTTAACATTTATATGCTTTTAACTTATAATTATTTTGCTTTTGAGGCAAGGTCTTTCCTGTGTAGTGTAGGCTAGCCATAAACTCTATATCTTCTTGCTTCTGCCTCCCAAGTGCTGGAATTACAAGTGTGAACCACCATACCCAGTTTAAAACCCATTACAAAGGGACAAATTGCTGAGGAAGTTTGTGTCTAAAAAAGAAAAACTGTGTTGTCCAGCTTCTAATTTATCCTGCACCTCCCACCCTATGGGCTAGTTATAACCTCCTAACACCCCAACCTAGAACATCTCAGAGAGCCAATATTGAGGTACTGGAGGTATAGGGTGAATTAAATAAAACTTTTATTCTTTCTCCTTCCTAGTTACTAATCTGTACTGATTTTTAATAAAAGACTGCACAACTTTCTCCATTTCTTATTCAGATCCAATTCCTCTCATTTAGCTTAATGAGTGTGCTGAGATGTCAAATGTAAATAGGAGAGGTAAAGGCTAAAGAATATATTCCTGAGGAATATATTGTGAAATACAGTGTTCTGCTAAAAGGAAAAAAAATACAGAATAGAAGATTCTTTTGATGCATGACAGGTATGTCATGTGATGCATGTCTCATGAAATTATATCTAACTGAATATGCTGCTTTTCATAGAACAATATAACTATGTTTCATCTCAGCATTCTGGAGACCAAGAGATCTTCTTACACAGAATTCTGATCTTCTCATACTCAGAGGACCACACATTGTGATGGGCAATTACATTGGATAAGTGTAGGCTATTTTCCTGAAGGTTTCCCTTGGGCTATACTTAGGAAAAATGATAATATCTTTAGATTGTGCTTTGGACTTATGTACACATAGGTAAGCCCATCATTATCATGAGTCACAATTTTTTTTGGGGGGGGTTGTGGGGCTTGAACTCAGCCTGTGTGCTGTCCCTAAGCTCTTCAGTTCAAGGCTAGTGCTCTACCACTTTGAACTATAGCTTCACTTCTGGCTTTCTGGTGGTTAATTGGAGATAAGAGTCTTATGGACTATGCTGCCCAGCTGGTTTTGAGATCCTCAGATCTCAGCCTCCTGAGTACATAAGATTACAGGTGTGAGCCACCGGCACCTGGCAATATCACCCAAAAGGTATTTGATTAATTATTCATGAATCCTTACACAAAACACAACCAATGTCTTTCATGCTCACCTTATAAGTTCTGGAGTTGGAGTTGAACGCCTGGGTCTTGCCACTTCTTCACCTGATGCACAGGACAAAAGGCCTTTTTAGGTGTATTTTTACCAGTCTCTTCTGGTGTGTCATATGAACTATGTTTGGAAACACTTAGAGATTTAAGTCTCAGCAATAAACAACTCAATATGAAAACTTCGCAATGCAAACCCTCTTCTCTGGCAATGAGACAGCCCTAAATTTGGCATATAAAGTGGCTTCCTCCTCCTCCTCCTCCCACCCCTCCCCCACCCCAGCATTTGTAAAACTTCATTAACCAAGAAGCTACCATAAACAAGTCATCAAATAGAAATGCTGTACCCTGCTGAACATGCCAGTTCTCAGATGTCTGCTGCCTTGGCTGGTTTTGCTTCTCAATTATCATTGAAGAATAAGCCAAGGCCATATGCACATAGATTGTGAATCTAATGTCCTCTGCCTTTTATTTTCCTGAAAATGCCAAGGAGATGTTGAATCTGTAACTGGGGACCATGAATTTAGATTTCCTTAGATTGTGTTGCATGCAGCAGATGAAATCTAGGGAAATTTAATTTCACACCTTACATCGATCATAGCTAGATCCTATCATTTCGGTTGAAATTTTCATATTAAACAACATGAGAATGAGTAACTCACATCTACCTTTACTTCTTTCCTTCCTTCTCTCCCCTCCTTTATCAAGAGATACTATTTGATTAAATTAATTTTGATACTTAAATGATACAGCAAGAGTTGACAGATATAGGAAGAAAATAACAATGCTTTTGCCCAAACTTTAAACATTGATTATTCATAGGTACTCTTATCATAATAACAAGAATCCTTTGCTGTAAAAGTAAAAAAAAAAGTAAGCCTCAAAAATCAAGCCCAAGAGTATATAATTCATATGCGTATATGCTCCAAGATCCAAGGAACTATTTCTTGCTTGCAACTGTACTCTATTTCTGATAGCTAAGATATACTTACTGGATAAGTTCCTTTTAATTGCACCCTAGAATTAGAAATAGACACTATAAGGCTTAAGACCACATATATGTTATGTACAATATGTATTATTTCTGTTATTGCAATTAAACTGAACTCAAAGATAGGTGGATGGGGAGAATGAGATTTGACTCAGTGCTGCATTGAAGTTGAAATTGGTAGACCCACAAAAATCAGCTTTTCCTTTTACTCAGAGGGGACAGAGTAAAAGGAAGGGTAACTCATAAGTCAGTCAATGGCAAAACCCCTTACCTGGTCAGCTTTGGTAAATCAATGACTAATATTACCTAGTCTATTAAAAATAAGACCTTCCTGGAACATTAGCAGACAAAAAGGTAAACACAAGTTTAACATGTATTTGATGTTTGAAAATTCTAGAATGTTCTTAGAAGTATTATCTGTTCCTGGTCAGGTGAGGTTCCCAAGTTGCTAGCAGAAATCACCAGCAGTTAGCAATGGGATTAAAAAGATCAAAGTGTCAGGTGTTAAAGGAAAGAAAAGCTTGTCACTGTCTGCCATTGAGTTGACTTTTTTTTTTTGTCAGCGGTGGGGCCTGAACTCTGGGCCTGGGTGCTGTCCCTCAGCTCTTCAGCTCAAGGCTAGCAGACTACCACTTGACCCATGGCACCACTTCTGGTTTTTTCTGCTTATGTGGTGCTGAGGAATCGAACCCAGGGCCTCATGCATGCAAGACAAGCGCTCTACCACTGAGCCACCATCCCAGCCCTGAATGGACATTTTATTCAGGGAACCAAGCAACCCCTTCCTACCTTCCTTTCAATTTCTTCCACCTGCTGTCTACCAGGCCACCAACCACCAACCAGGAGTCACTTAAGGAATTATAGTACTATTGGAATGCAAACAATCCTAGCAGGAATAACACGAACACATCTTCTTTAGAGGTATGATGTCTTGCCATGAAATTGTTCAGATAATAGAAGAATTGATTACATTTAATTAAAATTACATTTAGTTAAAATCAGAAGTTGTGAAAGGTTCTTAGTATGAGATGCTCCAGAAAAGAAGACCTTTGGGAGGATTGCCTCATGGGGAAGGAAGGGCATGACCTGCCTTAAGAGAACGTTAGGGACACCACTGAAGGCAGGCAAAATGTCAGTGCAAGGAAGAATTCCAAGGGATAAGACCATGAATGAACTGCTACCAAGCACACACTTTATGTTATCACTATTGTGAGGGCTCAACCTTATGGCTACAGATGCTTTCTGTTCTCAGATTATAAATTTACAATTGGACAAGATTTAGCACTGCTATACTAGAACCATCAGAGGCTTCTTTTCTTTTTTTCCTAAGTATATATCAGAAATTTCAACTCTATTTTGAGACTATTTATGATAAAAAAAAAGCAATTTGAATCAAAATAGATTCAGGCTATGTGTTTTCCTGTATTTAGGTGCTTTCAACTGGCTGGCTTAATTTCTCAGAATCTACTTTCTGGCTTGTTTGCATAAAATTGAATCTATTTCTCCTTAGTATGTGTGTCAGAGAAAGAGTTATTATATTATTAGTAAAGTTTTCTGATAAATATGATTACATCTGCTAATGGGCTACTAAATAATAAGGCTCTGGTCCTATGAACCCAGAGAAGCTGAATTAATAAGGTCTAAGGGAACTGATACAAAGGTTTTATTTCACTGTCACAGATGAATAAGTTGATGTTGAGGAAACATGGTCACCAGTACTGTGGGAACTGAAATCCAAATTTAGAAGATGCCAGGGCTGATCTTTTGTTCTTACTTATACTCATTTTTATTAAAAATGTAATACCTTCAGGGTACCTGTGCCTCATGCCTGTAATCCTAGCTACTCAAGAGGCTGAGATCTGAAGATGGTGGTTTGAAGCCAGTCCAGGCAGGAAAGTCTGTAAGACTCTTATCTTTAAGTAACCACCCAAAAGTCAGAAGTGAAGCTGTTGCTCAAGTGGTAGAGCACTGGCTTTGAGCAAAAAAGCTCAGGAACAGTTCCTAGGCCCGAGGACTGGATCAAAACAAACAATAATAACAAAAGAATATATAATAACCAAATAGTCAAGAAAGGTAAAAAGCTTCTTTTGTATGCATCATTTCTCAGGTATGTCAATTAATTGAGCAGCTATTTATTATTGAAAGGCAATGAAGAAGACCCTGTAACATTTCTAGCAAATCTCCCTCACAAATGAATTAGCACAGTGCAAGCCAGACATAGAAGAAATATGCAAGAAAATTCTGTTGGTCAGAAACTATAAAGAAGAAACAATTTAGAAAGAGTAGATTTCAAACAGCAAAAGAAAAGAAAGTTCCACTGTTAGCTGGAGGCATCATACAGGTCTCTGATGACCCAGATACTGTAGCATAACCAATCTAAAACATAGTAAAGCAATGTCAGCTGGTCAGACCACATTTAGGAAAGTTACCTCTTGAATTGAAAACCTTCAAAGGGCTCCTATCAGAGTGACTGTTTGGTGCTCTTATGTATATTGTGAGTCATTTTGTTGTGAATCATATTTCTCATCTTGAACTAATAAATCTTTGAGAGTAAACTGTCATAATCTACAATATCACCTAACAGCTTGGTTAGAATCATCCCACCTAAATAACAGTTTCTGAAGACACAATCTTCCAGCCACAGCTGTTTTATTTAAATAGAGAACCACCAAATTGTCACCTGAGGCTGACTATCAGCCTCTAACAGTAGCTGGTTATAAATTGGTACAGGCCTAGGATATTTCAGAGAATAATGTTCCTAGTTTCATAGAATCTCTTTAAGGGACTAAGTAGACAGGCTTATTTCAAACACAGCAATTATTCCTTGCTTTGCTGTTTTAAAATCTTCATCATCTTTAGCCTGAGGAAAAAGACAGATTTCACTAAGAATGCATCAATGGTAGTAAAAATCTCCATTGATGTACCCTACCAAAAGCTGTCTACTGCCTTTAGTAATGAAATTCAGAATTCAGTGACAGACTAGAAGTACTTTCTTTTCCCATTCTCAAGATTGAAATTTTAAGTATGTATCAGTGTATACTGACCAATATGTTATGACCAAGGCTTTAAAACAATATGGCATAAAAACAGATTCTTTCTTTGTTATTCTTCCTTCTCTACTCCTCATTCTATTATTTTGCTATGAACATTTATGGTATTTTCTGGCCCATCTGCAGTCCTTGTATACACACACACACACACACACACACACACACACACACACACACACACACACACACACACACACTCATCCATATACATTCTTCAGGTCTATCTATCAATAGTCAGCATTTCCGTGTATTCATTTAGTCTGCTATGGAAAAGTGCTCTGACAGTTCTAAAATACTTTCCTTTCTTAGAGAGCCAGGGGCTTCCAACCAGTAAGTCTAACGCACTCGCCTCATTTAGGCTGGGTTATCACAAATAATAACAGGGAACCAATCTGGCCACCTTGCCTGGGCAGCAATTTTCTCTACACATTTAAGGTAAAAATGTTGAGAGTTCTTACCGGGCTGCGCCTCTGTGACCAGCAAAAAGGAAGAGAGAACAGACACCTAGTCAGAGAATGATGGATCAGTCAACAGGCTTGAGTGAGAAAAGACTGCAAAACAGCTATCAAACATGCACTCCAAATGGTCAAGCCAGAGGAATGTAGACATTATTGCAATCAGGGCTTATTCAAGCCACAAAAATAACTTTGAAGAACCCTGAAGGGAACTGTTGTATAATAAAGTTTTGCTAATGTGAATGCCTGAAAACAGGCAAGATGTGCACAATCTTTATTGATAGCTTTTAATGTCTTGCCACAGGAGTTTTTCTCCAGATTACTGTGGGGTAGGAATATTCTTAGAGAATAGATAATATGGGGAAATTTGTTTACAGGATAGTGGTAAGAATGATAGATACATTGCATTTCCCACATAACTAAGACCTAGAGGGAACTTCCTAAATATCAGTGAGAATTAGAGAACCCTCTTCTTTGGATTTTCTTTTTTAAAAAAAGTTAAAAGACGTAGTTATACAGAAGTGTTTTAATTCAACATGTCAGTTTATGAGTACAATGCATCTTGAACAAGGTCGATCCTTTCATAATTCTTTTCCATCTTTCCCAACCAACTCCACCATACATTTTCTTGTTACTATTCTTTAGAATTTGTGATTCTGAGACTTAAATCTGTCTGTCACAGGGTGAGTTGGGCAGCCTCTACCAATGGGTAGGCATGATTGGGACAAAGAAGAACAATGTAAGCTGCCTGACCAGATAGTGTCTGAAAAACACAATCAACAGACACTTGATGACTTCCCATTTTTACTGCTCCAACCTAGATGATGGTTGCTACAAATGTTCCCCAACAAGCTCTGGTTGTTTTAGTATCTTTGGCTGTACCAGGAGTGTTAGGGGGTGAGTGTATTATAAGGAGATGTCCAGCATTTCCCTTTTAGGATGTGGGCTAGTGCAAAATCCCTCAGAGAATAATAACATCACCAACTGAGGCCAGGAGCTCAAATGAAGAGGAATGGCCATTCTCTCTAGCTCACAACCTGGTGTTCTCTTGTACCTGAGAGGACTCCATGGAAATCTTGTTCAATGACCTTTATACTCTATAGAGAAAGTGAGGCTATGAAGGGTATAGCTACTGAATTAGTAGAACCAGAGATGAAATTTACATTTCTGATCTCTCATTCTTCCATTCTTTCTATGATTTTAAGCCTGATATTGATGGTCCTAAAGCAGAGAACCATTGTGGCTAATATCCAAGAATTTATTTCTCAGACCAGTTTTTTTTTAACTAACTAGCACTCGACATACTTTAATGAATTTCTTTGTAATAATTTAGACTTTTTTCTTTTTTGTCAATCATAGGGCTTGAAATTGGGCTCTAGCCCAGTGGTATTTTGTTTTGTTTTGTTTTTTGTTCAAGGCTATCACTCTACTAATTTGAGCCACAGATCCATTTGTGGTGTTTAGCTGGTTAACTGGAGATAAAAGTCTCACCTACTTTCCTGCCTGGGCTGGCTTTGAATCACATTTCTCAGATTTTAGACCTTATTGTTTTTTTGCAGGTGCTGTTCCATGTGAGTCTACCTTTCGTATAAACTTTTCTGTGTGCCTGGTTACAAGCTAAATCGAATTAGAAAAATAAAAGGGATATTCTATGACAAATGTTTAAAATACAGCTATCAAGCAACTAAAAGTGACATAATCCTCCCAACAGAAAATCATGAGAAATAATGCAAAACAAAATGCAGATTACAAGCATACAGAGGTAGACTCAAATAGAAAATTTTTGTCAACTAAAAATTATACAAAGTACTTTCCAAAGTAATTTCAAATACTTAAATTGAGTTATATCTTAGTTCCCAATGAGTTTAAAAAACATTTTCAATTGATAGTTCATGATTATATTTTTCCTACTACAACAGCTGTATTTGATAACATTCTGAAAAATTCATTTGCAAATTTTTTTCATCAGGGACTAGCCAATGAAATTCACACAGTTACAATCTGATTAATAAGAATTCAAAGATACAACTAGGAGAGAAGCTGTGAAAAACACAGGCACAGAAGGTTTCATGGTCTATAATTAAGAGCCACCTGAATCCTTTCAAAACAAACAATTCCAGAAGCCAAATGGAAAACTGAGTGTCACCACTGAAGAATTTTACTGGACAAAAAGGTCAGTAAAACTATTTATTTATTTACTTATTTGTTTATTTAGTCAGTTGGGGGCTTGAGCTCAGGGCCTGGGTGCTATTCCTGAGCCTCTTTGTGCTCAAGGCTAGTGCTCTACCACTTAAGCCACAGCACCACTTACAGTTTATGAGAGGTTTATTTGAGGAAAGACTCTCACGAAGATTTTTCTGCCTGGGCTGACTTCAAACTTCCAGATCTCAGCCTCCTGAGTAGGTAGGATTACAAATGTGAGCCACCAGTGCCTGGTTTGCTTGCTTGCTTGCTTATTTATTTATTTATTTTTCAGTAAAATTATTACCAACCAGGAGGCAGGATCTTTGCCCATTAGAAGTGTTTTATCCTTTCTCCTTTCATTTCCCAAGACTTTGAAAGTATTTAGCATTCTGCTTTTATTCTATTTGAATACAGAATTTTCATCCAAGAAGAAGAAAACTAAATTCAGTATCTGATCTTGATATATTGTAAATGCTAAAAGATCTACATCCAGGGGCTTGTGGGTGGGAGAGCAGGTGGTATGGGAATCAGGACAGATGCCAGCCACTCATCAGTTCTGATCAGTGACTACTATATCTGTGGTGGAGGTCTTAGTCTACCATGGGTAGGTCTTCAGAGAAAAATCAACATCCAAATGTTCTTTTATAAATTTGGGATGCTCTCGTTGTTGAATTCCTGCTTTATTTTCAATGGCACAGCCAAATAAAACATGTATTCAGTTGTTCAGAGTCTGCAGGAGGCCAATTTGTCTCTGATTGGGGCATTTGTGTCATGCATAAGTTCTCATGATATCTGCTGTCCTGATTATTCAGACTTTGCAATTTGCCTATTTATGTTCTGATCAAATTTTCTACATTTTAAGTAAAACATCAATTCAACTTTCTTGGTCATCCAGTGCATTCTGGAGAAGGTTTAGGAATTCAATTTATTCCTTACCTCTTGGAGAAAACTCTTACCTTGCATTTCAAAGCTATTTTTAAACTAGGTAAATACTGCTAATTTATGATTTGGTCATTAGAATGAAGATCTTTGTTTAGAATATGTTTGTTTGAAAATGTTTACAGTTTTCAGTATGAACATGCCTCCCTAAAAGAAAATAGTTACCCATGCCCTTATAATTTTTAGGATTCTTAGATTCACACCCTGGATATGCTTTGCTATTTTTTTGTATCAGGGTATTATTCTAAATTCAGTTCAAGATTTCTCCAGTTCTTTTTAAATGCTGGAGATGGAAGCCAGGGTTCAGCTTGTTGAATGTGCATTCAACAAGAGCCCTTCCCAAGCTTTACTCCAATCACTAGAATCACTTAGCCTTAGTCAATATGAGTAACTGTTTTAAGAGATTTGTAAGATATAACCAAACATCATTTGTCTTGCTTGTCAAATTCACTAAATAATCAGCATTTTAGGTTTTGAAGTTTTAAAATACCTTCATTTGCTAAATTCAGTGCTATAAGGAAATAGAAAAGGGAGTGATGGACAAAGTATCAAATATTTTTATGTAGTCTAGTCATAGCATTATATCATTCATGTAATGTGATGGAAAAGAAGTAGAATGTATGAGCATCATGATTATTATTATGTCTGGGTGCTGGTGGTTCATGCCTGTAATCCTAGCTACTCAGGAGGCTGAGATCTGAGGATCACGGTTCAAAGCCAGCCCAGGCAGGAAAGTCTGTGAGACTCCTATCTCCAGTAAACCACTCAGAAAACCAGAAGTGGCGCTGTGGCTCAAGTGGTAGAATGCTAGCTCTGAGCTGAAGAGCTGAGGGACAGTGCCCAGGAACAGAGTTCAAGCCCCATGACCGACAAAAAATAAAATAAAATAAAAATAAATAAACATTACTGCTTTTTATTTTATTTCCTCTTTTATTTGTGGTACTGGAATTTGAACTTATGCTTGCTGGAGTGGTATTCTAACCAATGAGTCACACCTCTATCCATATTTTCTGCTGGTAATTTTTGCCTTCCCCTCAGGCGTGTATGTACCTGGGCAATGTCCACTATGGTAGGCTTTCTAGTAGCTAGGTTAACAAATGTATGACACAACATTCAGCTTTTTATGGAGCAGTCCCTTGAACTTTTCCGTCTGGGACATACTTGAACTTTGATCCCAACAATCTCAGCTTCATAAGTAGCTGGGATTCAGGCATGAACCAACACTGCCCAGCTTCCTATTTGTTTGTAAATGCTTTAGAGTAAAAATAAGCTATGTGGTAAGCGTCCTATTTGCCCACCCACCTTGTCCATAGTTAAATTTGTTCCTGTATATCATAAGTTTAATCACAGAGGCTAACTACTATATCTCATCTAACATGTTCCAATGATCATCTGAAACTCCATGTAGGAAATGAAACAATGAACGTGTTTCTCACCAACATATTCAGAGGTGACCAGACAGCAGAACCAACAAAATGGTCATATCCAAAGAAAAATGAGGCAACAGGGTGGGAGAAAGACATTTTTGAAGACAGATAAATGAAAATGAAAAGGTACACTTGATGCTAAGATTACTGTAAGGCCAACAGTAAGAAAATGCAATGAGGAACAGAGGATTTCAAAAGTATCACAGGCAAATTTAGTATAGCTACATTGGTTAATTCAGAGGATGGTCCAGGGTTAAGGAGAATATAAGACATTGGCCACATAAAAGGAAAGGCTACTAAAGAGCACCAGCCCTGTTGTACTGCTCCATACCATGTGAAACACAGTTGATGCTCAGTTACAAGAAATTAGCCATGAGCTCAGTAACAATCAGAATAATCATAAATACAGTGTTCCTTTTTTGGAAGCAAAAATACCTGGGCCCCCATTTTGAAAAAAATTGATAC